CACACATGAAGATGAAGCAGGTGGCTGGTGAAGAAGTGAGGCAGGAGGTTGTCCTGGATGGATGGAAAGACGGGATAGAAGGGTGTGGAGAGCAACGTTTGAAAATAGAAAATAACCTTCACACACATTCTTTAAACCCAAGGTTAAGTGGTAGTATCCTGTTTTGCAGTTTCAAAATTTGAGTCACAAAGAAGTTCCATGAATTGCCAAAGGTCAGTCGGTTAGTCAATGGCAGAACCAACCATACTCCAGTGACTCCAAACCCACTGTTTTTTCCACCTCATTATATTGCTTTTCTTTTGTTTTAAGCCTTCCAACTAGTTTTCAGCCCATCTGAGGATATCATATCTAAGTCAATTTGAATTAATGTGGCAGGACCTTGGGTAACCACATTAGTATTTTTGAGCCTTTCTTACTGTTTTTTCCCCTTCAGAATAATTACAAACTGCTGTGTTTTAATTACGGTGACTTTTAGGATGCCCCAGATTTCTTCTAAACATTTGGTTTTTGTATTTTTCTTCTTCTATCTTTTCATTGCAAGAATTCTAAACTCTCCAGCACCCTTTCTTGAAGAAACACTGACTGATAAAGTCCATCTGAATGGCATGATGAAAAAGCACAGAAATAGACTCTACTGAATATTCAGTGTAAATGCTCTCAGGTAGCTTCCCTTGGTTGAAAGCAGTGTGAAGCAATGTTCTTTTCAAAGCCAGTTGGAGACAATTTACAGGCAAGAAACAATGTGGTCTATGTAGAAACAATGATTCTGATTTCCATGTGTCATCTGTGTGTTGCACAACTCTGTAAATTATTCATAGAAACAGAAATTAGGAAAAGGAAGTAATTCTGCAATATGCTGTGATTAAAGAATCACTGAGCATCCCTTACTTGCTGATGGTTCATATCTATGTTTAGAAAGAAATATAATATAGCTGTAATGGAATGGATCCTCCTACAATACAAAAAGAAAATAGATGATTGTATTATGAAGGCAGCAGTGTCCTTTCCATAAATGACCCAAGAATCAGATTTTTCTTCCCATTAAAAGTTATCTCTCTATGGTATATTTAGTAAACAGAAGAGATTTTTTAGTTTATATTTGTTTCTGAATCATCCCTGATTGCTACTCACCTGAGATCTATATAGTTCTCCTCCCTTCTCTTTGATCTGTCACTGCCACCTTTTCAAAGGATTCCATAGAAGAAAAGATGAACAGGGGCCTCACTTCTCTTCATCGCTCTCTCATTTCTATCTTTTTTTCTCTCTCTTTCTTTTTTGTTGAGGTATAATTGACATGTGAAAGGCTATATACATATTTAATGTATACAACTCAAAGAGTCTCGATGTAAATGTACACTACCATCACTACCATCAAGGTCATAGACATACTCATCATTGCCCAGGGCATCCCACCTACTTTGTGATAATACTGATATCGTAATAATAATAATAATAATAATATCTTTGTTATATAATCATCTGCTACTGTATAATAGATCTCTAGAACTTATTTATCTTACATAATTGAAACTTTGTAACCTTTAGTTATCACTTCCCCATATCCCCTCAGTCCCAGCCTCTGGCAGTCACCACTGTACCTCTGTTTCTATGAGTTTGACTATTTTAGGTTTTACATGTAGTGAGATTATACAGTATTCGTCTTCAATTGTCTGACTTACTTGGTGCAATGTCCTCCAGGTCTATCCATGTTGTTACAAATGGTAGGACTTCCTTCTTTTTTTAAGGCTGAATCATATTCTATTGTATGTGTATACCACATTTTCTTTACCCATTCACCTATTGATGGATATTCAGGTAGTTTCCATATTTTGGCCATTGTGAATAATGCCACAGTGAACATAAGAGTGCAAAGCATGTCTTTGAAATCCTGATTCCAATTCTTTGAATAAAAACAAGAAGCAAGATTGCTGGGTTTTGATGATAGTTCTGTTTTTAATTATTTGTTTTAATTGTTTGATCATCCACCTAATATTTCCATAGTCAAAAAAATCCCCCAAACTAAGTCTTTACAGGCAATATACAATAGCCACCCCAGTTCCTAACCTTATGTCTTGACCCCAGTTTTACTTTTCTCTCCTAAATATAAAGCCCTTCTTTATTCCTTTACTCATGGAAAGTGACACCTACTTTCTGCAAAACTTCACTCATCCACAAGGTTTATTACCCCAGGATTCATTCACCAAATTCATTAAATTTCTTAAGGTCAAACTTATTCATGGAACCACTAAGAATTAGAAAGTAAATACAACAAAATCTGTGAGCTGCAACAAAGGTTATGCTTAGAGTGAAATTTATAACATTAATACATATATTAAGATAGAAGAAAGACATAAAAATCAATAGTCTAAATGGCTACCATAGGAAACTAGAAAAAGAAGAGCAAGTTAAATCCAAAGTAAGCAGAAGAAAATAAATAAGAATTAGAGGAGAAAATAATGAAATTGAAAATACAAAATCAATAGTGAATATCAGTGAAATTAAAAGCTGATTCTTTGAAAAGATGAGTAAAATAATAAACTTCTATTCATGCTAACCAAGAAAAAGAGAGGACACAAATGACTAGTATCATAAATGTAAAAGGGGTCATGACTATAGATCCTGTGGATATTGAAAGGATGCTAAAGAAAACGAAGAACAACTCTATGTCCACAAAGTTGATAATATGGATGAAATGGACCAATTCCCTGAAAGACACAATTTGTCCAAACTGACACAAGAAGAAATGGACAATCTGAATAGGCCAATATTTAGTTAGGAATTAAATAAATAATAACTTTCCGAAATAAACAGCACCAGGTCCAGATGGGTTCATGGTGAGTTCTACCAAACATTTAAGAAAGAAATTATACCAGTTCTCTGCAATCTCTTTCAGAGGATAGAAGCACAAGAAATACTTTCTAATTCATTCTAGGAGACCAGTGCTACCCTAATACCAAAACCAAATCAAGCCATTACAAGATCAATATCTCTCATAAACATAGATGCAAAATCCTCAACAAAATATTCACAAATTAAACCAAAAAAAGTTTAGAAAGAAACACAATGACCAAGTGTGATTTATCCCAAACATGCAAGACTGATTCAACATTCAAAAATCAAGTAGTTTAATCCTCATATTACATGCTATTGATGATATCATCATTGATCACATCAGTAGATTCAGAAAAAACACTAGACAAATTTTCTACATAGAAAATCTGGAAGAATCTCCAAAAAACCTCTTGAAACTAATTAGCAATTACTGCAAGGTCATAGGATGCAATTTTAATATACAAAAATAAATTGCTTTACTATATACCAGTAATGAACAAGTGGAATTTGAAATTAAAAACACAATACTGGATGCCTGGGTGGTTTAGTTGGCTAAGCATCTGCCTTCAGGTCAGGATCTTGGGGTCCTGGGATCAAGTCCCATATCGCATTGGACTCCTTGCTCAGCGAAGAGTCTACTTCTCCCTCTGTCCCTCCCCCCAGCTTGTGCTCGTTCTCTCTCTCCTCTCTCTCTCTCTCTCACAAAAATACATAAATAAAATCTTTTAAAAAATAAAAATACTATTTACATCAGCACCCTCTCAAAATGAAATAAGTAGGTTATAAATCTAACAAATAAAAGATCTATGTGATAGGAAAACCGTAAAACTGAATAGTCAAACTATTAAATAAATAGAGATATTTCATGTCATGGAAAGGACTCAATATTGTCAAGATGTCTATTCTTCCCAACTTGATCTATAGATTCAATACAATCCCAATTAAAATCTCAGTAGGTTATTTTATAGAAATGGATAATTCTAAAGTTTATATGGAGAAGCAAAAACTCCAGAGTAGCCAACTCAATATTGAAAGAGAAAAACATAGACAGATAGAACACTACACTACCAACTTCGAGACTCATAGGAAAGCTACAGTAACAAGACAGTGCGGTATTGATGAAAGAATAGATAAATGGATCAATGGAACAGATAAAAACCCCAGAAATGGACCCTCATAAATACAGTCAACTGATCTTTCACAAAGGAGCAAAGGCAATAAAATTGAAAAAAGATAGTTTTTTCATCAAATGATGCTGACACAACTGGATATACATATGCAAAAAAGAAAGTGTCTAGACACAGGCTTTACTCCCAAAACTTAATTCAAAATTAACTAAATGTAAAAATGCAAAACTATAAAACTCTTAGGAGATAGCATAGGAGAAAAATCTAGGTACACTTGGATTTCATGATGGCTTTTTAGATAAAACATCAAAGGCATGATCCAAAAAAGAAATAGTTGATAAGTGGATTTCATTAAAATAAAAAATTTCTGCTCTGTGAAAGACAATGTTAAGGGACTGAGAAGACTAGCCACAGACTGGGAGAAAATATATGCAAGGGACATATTGAATAAAGGACCACTATCCAAAATATATAAAGAACACTTAAAACTCAATAAGAAAACAGCCCAATTAAACAATGGTCTAAAGACCTTAACAGGGCAGCCCTGGTGGTGCAGCAGTTTAGCGCCGCCTGCAGCCCAGGGCGTGATCCCGGAGACCCTGGATCAAGTCCCACGTCAGGCTCTCTGTATGATGCCTGCTTCTCTCTCTGCCTGTGTCTCTGCCTCTCTCTCTCTCTCTATGAATAAATAAATAAAATCTTTAAAAAAAAAAAAAGAAGACCTTAACAGACACATCACCAAAGAAGGTATATTGATGGAAATAAGCAGATGGGAAGATGCTCTACCTCATGTTTTCAGAGGAATGCACAACTAGGAGATTCCACTACACATTTTTTAAAATAGCCAAAATCTGTAACACTGACAATATCAAATGCTGACAAGGATGTGGAGCAGCATTCATTGTTGGTGGGAATGCAAAAATGATGCAGGTTGGAAATTTAGTGATTTCTTACAAAGTTAAGCATACTCTTACCAGACAGTCCAGCAGTTGTGCTCCTTGGTATTTATCCGCAGGAACTAAAAAACTTATGTCCACACAGAAGCCTGCACATGGACGTTTGCATCAACTCGATTCATAATTGTAAAAACCTGGAAGCAAACAAGATGCCCTTCAGGAGGCAGGCCGGGAAGCGTCGTGCGGCCTGCAGCCCCCGCTTGGCCCTGCAGCTTGGTCTCCCCTGGCCCTAGCTCCCAAGCAACACACAAAGAAAACGTGGCTGCACTTTCAGTGCCCGTGGCCCCATTCCTGGGGCTTCTCACAGTGGCCCCAGGAAGCACCGACCGCCGTGGGCTCACAGGGCTTTTCTGGGAGAGGCAGAGAATGTAATGATTCGGACCCCACAGTTACCCAGATGGTAAGTGGAAATGTCTCTGGACACTTCGTGTAGAGTTTTTTCCCACTACATCACACACAGGCTGTATGAGCCCACACATGGATTAACCGTGACCTGCTTCACTCTGGCTCACATATCTGGGTACAGATGAAAAAAAAAATCCATACTTTCAGTTAAACTACACTAATGACTTGGACAGTATGTGGCTAAATAAGATTTCAGAAACTGTTAGCTTGCAGACAGGATTGGTCCTAAGGGCCCATTTTATTTGGCTCCCTGAGTATTTTCTATATATTAAAAAAAAAAAGTGTTGCAATATCTTCAGTTGGGAATACTTTTACATAAAAATCCACATTTTCAGATTCTCTTAAAAAAAACCGCATCCGGCAGCATGACAATTGGCTGAAATGGGTTTGTCATTATATTGTCCTTTCGGTTAGTGGTTTTCAAGCTCAGCGCTACTGACGTTTGGGGCTGTACAGTTCTCTGTTGCGGGCAGCTGTCCTTGCACTGTGGGATGTTTCATAGCATCCCTGTCCTGTACCCACCAGATGCCAAGAGCAGTAGCACCTTCCCACTGTGTGACAACCGGTTGTGACACTGCCACATGTACCCCGGCGGGGGGAGGGGCACGTTGCCTCAGGTTGGAGGTTTGACAAACCATGCTGGAGGCATTTGAGTAGCGAACCCTGGAAAGCAGCATTCTAGAGCGGGCAAAGATGAAGTGAAACCCCCTCTAATGGTGTAGGAGACTGAAGCCCGGCCAAAGAGGTGACATAACCTGCCCAAGGGGGCATAACTAGGACAACTAGTGACAGCTCTAGGCTGGGCCGCAAGTCTTCTGAGTCCTGGTGTGCCTTCCCCCCGACCTGCTGCCTGCCACGGCCCACTGCCTGCCAGCTCCTACCTTCTCTCCTTACTGCCAGGATGGTCACTGGTCACTCTCCTACACATGCACCCCGATCCCCGCCGTTGTGCTTGGGTCACATGGAGCAGCTCTTCACTTAAGAGAAGCATCTCCAGGTGTAGGTGGTCCCTGCTGTCCCCTCAGATAGGAAGAGGGATTTCAGAAACATTACCTTAGTCTCTGTTCCACTCATTTAACACAGGATTCTCCTCATTCCCGGCCTATTTAGATCACCAGTCCCTTCTGCATTCTTCTGAGCTCCACGTTTCCTCTAAAGCCACTTACAAAATGTGCCGCCAGAACCAAATGTTTGCCTGAAGTCATTTGTCACTCTGAAAACTCCTCTGGAATGTGGTCGTTATACAACAGTTGGATGACATTGTTTATACACTTAGAATTTGTTTCACCATCTCAGGTCTCATCCTTTTTGATAAGATCAGTTTAAGAACATATTAACGATTTCCCACAAGAGATTTTTTTTTTTTTAAATAGAATAAGAGATTCTTTTGATGTCAGAAAGTTCCAGACAAGGCTCACTGGACCAGGAGCCTCCAGCACTTAGGTTGTGGTTCTACCACTGTCTGAGCACATGGGCTAAGCAATCTGTAGCCCTCTCAACTATAAAACACTGTGTTTCGGGGGCACCGGAGCAGCTCAGTTGGTTGAAACTGGTTTCGGCTCAGGTGGGGATCACAGGGTTGTGAGATCGAGCCCCATGTCAGACTTTGCACTCAGTGTGAAATCTGCTTGAGGATTCTCTCTCTCTCTCTCAATCTGCCCTTTCCCTCACGTGGACACTCACACACACTCTCTCTCTCAATAAAACTTAAAAAAAAAAAAAACCACACAGTGTTCTTTTTTTTTATTTTATTTATTCATGAGAAACAGAGAGAGAGAGAGAGAGAGAGAGAGAGAGGCAGAGAGAAAGAGAGGCAGCCAGAGAGAAGCAGGCTCCATGCAGGGAGCCCAACGTGGGACTCGATCCCGGGTCTCCAGGATCACGCCCTGGGCTGATGGCAGGCGCTAAACCGCTGAGCCACCCGGGCTGCCCCCCCACAGTGTTCTGATGGCCACTTAGACCCTTTGAATCTCTCACATTGAACTGAATTCTTATTTTTTCATTAGAGTCCATGTGAAATTTCTCCCCTGACTCTTGTTCTAATGGTCAGACTATTTCATTTTTTGACAGAGAAAGCCCCAAAGACACTTATCATAAAATATTCCTTTACACACCCACAGGGGGATTGCTCCACAGTTTAATTTGAAATTTTTCTAGTTGTCAGTGAAATACTATCTTAGTACTTAGTACTGTGCCAAATGGGCAAGTAACTTCACTCAGGGTATGTCCTTCTTGGGTGTCCTGCTGAATGTAAGAATCATCTGAGCGTGGGATGATGCATAAATCACCCTCCTCCCATACCACTGCTATCAATTCTCCCTTCCAACATGGTAGGACGTGTCTTATGCCTTCCTATATTGTGATCTGGGTTGATGGAGCGCTACCATGTGACCCCTCTCTACTGTAGAGTCCCACTGCCATATGTATGCTTATTGTCTTGTTTCTATTCTGGATATATCTTTCTTTGGCATAGTTTCCTACTGTCTTGGCTTCCAATCATCTTCTTTTTTCTATCTGTTCTGTTCTTAGAACTTGAAAGAAAAAGAATCCTTGCATGAAAGGTAATGATAGCAGCACGGCAGTGTGTACAAGGGACGTGGGTAACATTCCTTTGTGTAATGTTTTGGGTCAGCTCATTTATGAGTTGTGTTTGAACCAATGGAGTAGGGGAAGAAATTCCCCAGAAGCCCAGATGCATGCCAGAATTGAAGAAATGAGTTGGGCATTGGACTCCCCCAACACACACCAAATTGTGCATAGAGAACCGAAAGGCCACCAGTGATAATCTGATCAGGATTGGTTGGGGGACTGGACAGGGCAGAGGCCACCGAGAAGCCTTCACTATCTAAAACCCAGCAGGGCCAGGAGGCCAGTGCAGTGCCTGTCCCTTTATCTCCAAACTTCAGTCATTCTTAATCAGACCCACATTTGCGAGCCTCTGTGCGAAGTCACACATACCTTTGTCTTTTGTCTCTATATCTAGAATGAAATCAAATAGACTGATTTAAATTTTTGCTTATTATTAAAAAAAAAAGCCACCCGCATTACTACCAATTGAACCTCGGCTTTGTGTCAAACATTCCACCTATTTTATTTTAGCAGAAGATCACAGGAAGCTCTAAGGATGGTTGCTAGCTGCCCTTGAGTCTGTGTGCCCTTTTTCTTCGTTAGCAAGACAAGTCCTGCACTGTAGCTGGGCACGTGGCATCCCTGCCCAAGGCTCGGTCCTGTACTTTGTGGTACAGATTGCTGTGACCACATGACCATGTGCTAGCCAATGGGATGCGAGCTGAAAGAGGTACCCGACTTGCAGTTCATGCCCCAAAAGGGAGAAAGATTGTGCCCTCGCCCTTCCCTTTCTCCTTTTTTCACTGGCCAGAATGTGGAGGCAAGAGTTGGGAACAGACAGTTTAGCCCTGAGGTGAAAGATGAGTGTGGAAGATGCAAAACAGGATCCGAGGAGCCTGGTCCCAAACTGGAGAGCTGGCCTCTCAGCTCTGGACTGGCTGTGTTCAGACCGTATCATGAGAAAGGAAAATCCTGCCTCTCTTAAGTCGCAATTATTTTGACTTTTGTTACAATAGCCAGACCTGTTTTCTAACGAACACAGGCATTCATTTTTATACCCTTTGTGCAAACGAGCATCTGGACCTCAAAGAGACAAATAACTTGCCTGAAACTGCTTATAGAACAGTCCCCTCAAGCTGCTCAAATATGATACTTTCTCTTAGAATTCCTCTCTGATATGGAAATGCCAGTGAAGTCGTACAGCTCTTCCCCCACACCAAAGAAATAGCCAAATCTGAAGGAAACATGTGTTCTGGAGCATCTGCCTGGCTGAGTGGGCAAGTGTCCATTCTGTTAACTTCCATCCTGAACTCCCACCTCCTCAGAAGCTGAGTTAGTTTTGAGGTTCAGGTAACCTATATGGTAGGTCAATGAATCTTAAAAATGATCATCTCACTTAGTATTTCTTTAGCAGCATTTTACACTTAAGGGCTTTTATGTGGAGTTTTACGTATTTATTTTGTTTTTTTTTAGTTTTACGTATTTAAAACAGTTATTTAGCACTAGAACAGAGATTATGTTGCAAGATATTTTGTTTGTTTATTTAACATTTTAAAATATTGTGTGTTAGTGAGATTTGGGTTGTGAGAGCCATCATGGCATCTCTGACTTGTTTTCTTTCCAGCAGTACCGAGACGCTTACTTGTGTGATGCCAAAAAATGAGATACGACAGCCAGAGCTTGCTTCAGTCCCCTCCGACAAAGAGAGGATGCATCTTCATGGTGATCTCAGCACTTCTGATGCCATTTGGAAATTTGGAAACAGCTTGATTATATTTGTGAGCCATAACTTGATCTCAGTCATCTCCGAAGCTATTTCCGGGTTAGTCAGAATCGTAAGGGCACTTAGAGGGAGAGGCAGGAGGAGACAATTCTTTCCTTTCTGCATAGGAGTGGGAGTGACTGAGCCACGAATGCCAAAGGTGGGGATGAGAGCAAAGACCAGATGAAATGCCAAGAGAGCCAAGATAGCAAGGAGAGAGGGGTCAGAGGTCAAAACAAACAAGGATCCAACCAGGCTGGGAAGGGTTCATCCACACCACACCAAAGCTTTTGGAGACTGGGGAAAAGGAAAGTGTTGAAAGAAAATTTAGGGAGCTTTCCTTGATATGAATATTTTACTGAATGAGAAATGAACTGGTCACAACGAGGGGTCCTTCCAACTCAGGAATACAAGGCTCAGAGGTGTGATGTTACAGGATGGCTTAGAAAGTGACAATGAGGAAGTTGCTTAACCTTCACAACGATTGGTTATTACGGTGGAGGTTTCCAGATGGCAGGGCATTGGTTAAAAGGTACTTACCTTATACCATTTGAGGAAGATGTTTTCTTTGATGACTATTGGTGGCATTTACAAAGTAAGTTCCATGTATGCTCATAAAATAAACTAGATTGAGTTTTGCTTACTTGGCTTAAATAGTTCTGTCTTCTTAGGAGATGTTCAAGCCTGGCCTTCATTTTATTTTCTTTTAATTAAAATAAATAAACATTGTTGGGTGTCTATTATGTGCCAGAAAATCAAATCCTGTAGATGGTATAATTATCACCATTTCATAGCTGAGAAAAATGGTCTCAAAAAAGTTAGCCCAATGGATGTCACACAACTGATGAATAGTAAATCTGGGATTCAGACTCTGGTCTACCAAAAGTCTGTGTTCCTTCCTTCCATCACAATGACTCCAGACCAGAAAGGCATCCAACAGAGGGTAGGTTGTAATGAACTGGATAGAATAGACAGGGAGTCAGACCTAGACTTTGTGAAACCACACAGGGACAGGGTAACATCTAGCACAAGACTTTTAGGTGTGGGCTGTCTTCAGGAAAACACGTCGGTAAACTGCCCTGGGTATGGGCCATGAGGCCCAAGGTCAAGGCATAGAAGATAAAGGCAAAACCCAATTTCTCTACAAAGTAAGTTAGCTAGAATTTGGGACATGAGCAAGAAATTCAACAAGAGGGGAAGAGTTAAAAAAGAAAAGAAGGAGCCCAGCACATGGTGGGAGGTGGAAGCACAGAGATGGCCAGGAAGCGAGGCCCTGGAGATGAGGGAGCTGAGAGGTTTAGAAGCATGGAAACGTGTAACATGTAATCCTAAACTGACTGGTTGCCTCACTGTTAACTCCAGCAGTTCCCTTAATTGTCCTTTAAAAGTTTGTCACCCACAGTTGCACAACCTTGTGTTTGAGACAGGCTCAAACAGGAAAAAAGAACTGCTTCGTGCAGAGGACGAGGTGAGAGCAGAGAGGAGAACAGGCATGGACAAGAGAGGCATCCATACATGGAGCGATTCGGCCGGAGCTGGAGGTGGCCAGGACACTTATAAACATCCTCCCGCCCACATGTCAAAGATTAACAGGGAGTCTGAAAGACTTGCTGAATGGCTTACCTCATAAGGCATGAGAATTCAAAACAATTTCATCTAAATCTGCAAGGGCAAGTTGACTTTAGCCAACATCTGCTATATGAAAAGAAGGTATTTCTCAAAGTGCTACTCGAGGAAGTGAGTGACCTTGGGCGGCAGTGAATTCCCCATCCTTGGTCATGTTTAGGCAAAGGTAGTACAAACCCCAGGTGTGGTGGTGGTAGGGTAGACTCAGGTGTCAGAAGGGAGAGACTCTCCAACCTGTTGAACCCCCTCCCAACACTGAGGGACCTGATTCTAGGTCTATAAAGTCACCTTGAATTAAGTATCCAAGCAAACGAGTGGGATTTGGGAATGCACCGACAAAGCTCGGAGTGAAGGGGGGGAGGAAGTCCACTCAACGAGTTAAAAGTAAAACTGAACCATTAATATCCAGATAAAGTCGCCTGGCTATTGAGACACGCTTCTGGTTCAAGGAAGCCTTTCTTCTGTGCTCCCTGCCACTCCATTCCCAGGGGTGTGGTTTATGCAGCCCAGGGTTTGCTTTTCGAGCAGGTGGATAAATGTGCCTTGTCTTGAATGGGCACTCGAGCTTCAGTGTCTGCGGAACAGGGATTTAATGTTGAGGACTTCTTCTCTTGAGATTTAGGTCTGAACCTGACCACCCTTTGCCCCAGCTCGTGAGGTCCAAGGGCTGGAGGCACCCAGAGGGAGTGAGAGCTCATCAGCTTCGCAAGATGTGGAAGGGAAAGAGGGAAAGAATCAACAATCTACAGAGATAGGAACAACTAACTCTCTTTTCTCCCCTGCCTCGCCAGGAAAAAAAAAAACAAACCAGATGCTGCTTCAGTCCTTGACTGTTTGCAAGGACAAAGTGTCTACCAGTGGCTAAAGGACAACTAAAAAAGATCATACGGTGGGGCGAGGGGGGGGGGGGATAAAAAAACTTCCTGGATCTTCTCGCAAAATGTGCCCAGAATAGTATATTCCTGCAATTTGGAGAAAAATACCTGAGTAAAATGATATCCTGCCAGTGCTCAAATTTTGTCTCAACCAGGGATGAAGCTAGCTTGGGTACATGAAATTCATAGATAAACCATAAACTTATAAAAAGCAGACTTTATTCATTTGAATTTCAGCTTGTAAGGTATTTCTCCACCCACTCATAGTAGAACGACCGTGAGTAGTTAGAAGTCATGGGGGAGGAGGAGCTGCAAATAACTTACATCAACCACAAACTAGATTGTCAGACCGGGAGAGTTGAGTGTAGACCTCAATAGTTTCTGATATTTGAATTAAGAATAAAAGTTCCCATATGAAGCCAGTCTAGGAAAGGCATTCTTGATAATTCTCTCAAACTCTCTCATGTGTTAGATTGCTCCACTGAGCAGGACTGAACACGTCCCTGGGGGCACCCCCACTTCGATTAGGTTCGAGAGACCAAGGAGTTCAGTTCCTGCCCCAGAGCCTCTTCCCTCTGTGGTAACTAGAAGTAAATTGACAACCTCACCTAGTAGTTCTGGAAGACTGAATCACATTTAAGTTACCTCTTGGCTTTAGAAATGATTTTATTTCATTCAACAAGCATTCTGAAGTCCTTCCTCCAATTCAGACATCGTGCAGGATGCTTTGGAATAGCTTGGAACCTAGTGAATATGATGTTCACACAAATTAAAACCCGATAAAACCACTAAAGTGCAGAGTGTACCATGTACCCAGGTGTGCCTTGGACTTTGGGAAAGGCCTTGAAACAGAAGAGGAGACTCACCTGAGCCTCTGATGATGGTTGAATGTGAGTTTATCAGCGAGAAAGAGTAAATGACATTTTGGGAGGAAGGAATAGTACCTCACAAAGAGTGAGAGATTATGACAGTGGCATAAGGAGAACAAGTAGTGTCAGGTTCAAAGCAGTACATTGTACTCTGTGGCTGCATAAGAATTTTCCCGGAAAATGAACAAATGCATGGCAAAGGTCAAGGGCTTCTCTGCATTTGAAGTTCAGCAACTCTAGAGATACTGACTCAGAGCAAATGGAAAAAATACACCTTGACTGGTTTTTTTGTTTTTGTTTTTGTTTTTGTGATACTCCAAGTGTCAAGGGACTTAGGGATTATTTTCCCTGGAATAGTCAGGGCTGCTTCATGGGTGTGTGACCTGCAGCCACACAGAGCTCCATGTTTAGAAGCCTCTGGTCTTGAATAAATTGCTCTGTGGTTGCTGTCTTGAAATTCTTTGACTCATCATGGTCCAGAGGTCCCATATTTCACTGATGAAATGATGTAGATGATCCTGAGAATAGGATATATTCAGAGAATTTGAAGTAGTTCAGTATTGTTTTATATAAAATGGAAGGAAGGAGCGGTGGCTAATGAAGTTGAGCATGTAGGCAGGGGAAGAGGTTGAAAAGCCTGGAAGCCTTGTTAAGCATTTAAAATTTGCCTCTGGGAGAAGGATAGTCATGGAAGATATTGAACAGGAAAGTAGTATGAGGAGATTTAACTTCTAGATCACTCTAGTGTGATGTAGGTGAGGGAGGGGAAATGTCACAAATTTTTTCCCATTTAAAAATAATGCCTTACGGGATGCCTGGGTGGCTCAGTGGTTGAACATCTGACTTGGGCACAGGGCATGATCCTGGGGTTCCGGGATCGAATCCCACATCAGATCCCCTGTGGGGAGCCTGCTTCTCCCTCAACCTATGTCTCTGCCTCTCTCCATTCTCTCATGAATAAATAAATAAAATCTTTAAAAATGAATAAATAAATAAATAAATAAATAAAATTAATGCCTTTCATTGTTCAAATTTCACTTATCAGTTCCAAATTTTTGATCCATGTTAAAATGGAAAAGTCCTGAGAAGAATTACTGCTATGATTAGTGTACATTTTTTGGGTAAATTAAGATAGCAAGATCTGTGAGCACCTTACAGAACTCGAGGTAGCAAAGAGCGGATGGAAAATAGGAAGCTGAGGGTTCTGTTTGGAGATGGGGGCCATAGAGAGGCTGAGCCTTTAGGGGAAAGCTTAGGCTTGTTTTTTTCATTTTGCACAAGACCAACCAGATCCACATGAAAATTTTTTTCCCTTAAAATTGCTTTCAGCACTCCCTGCCCAGAGTCCTTTAGTGCAGTGGTTCTCAAAGTGTGGTTCCCCGGAAAGCAGCATCAATGTCATTTTTAGAAACGCATTCTCTGCCCTCCATTTCAGGCACACTGACTCCACAACTGTGGAGGGGAGACCCCACAATCCACTGCCACCAGCCCTCCAGGTGGCCCTCGTGCAGCTGAGAACTATTGCATCATTAGAAGTCATCTATGTCCCTAGAAAAGGAGGGAAAAAAAGTAGACATGCCTGTATGGTATTAGAACGGATAATCAAATGTGATTCTAATGCCAAGAAGAAATTCAGGCTTTGTCCTAAACATGCTTTTAATGGAACTATATTCAGTGAGTGATGTAAGATATATATGATATATACGATAGCAGTGTCTTTGTAGGTGATGATTCCATAGTTCAAGAATGACTTTAAAAGGTCCTATTTTATTAAACAGACTCTGAATCATGATGCTGGAGCTGACAATGGTATTTACCAAAGCAAGATAAAGATGATTCTTTTTTCCCCCCTATGCAAGTACAATTGTTTTATGGGAAGCATGTTTCACTTGTACCATCATCTTCCAGAGGATAATCTCTGCTGATAGTGCTGGAATAGTTCATTTCTTGGGGCCTTACATTGGTAGGATCACGGCTATGTTAATACGTGTCCAAAAGTTGCTTTCGTTTATATAGTCCGTAATATTTCTGAAATGAAGTCTAAGTTGCTGTTAATACCAGCATTTCTCAGATTCTTTCCATTGTCTTCCATGAGTAATCCAATATACATGGAAGGAAAAAGAGTAAACACTTTTGTGATAATCCAAATCTTTCCAATGGAATTTTAAACAATCTGACAGTTCAGTCTTGTTAAAAAGTGATATAAAATAAATGCTTCTTAGCAAACAATTGTCCAGTAAGTATTATAATTCTGTCTCATATTCTCACAGTGGATTGTTTTCTGAGTCTTTCAGTGGAATTCTTTCAAATTAGAGCTCAATGATCTTCTTTATATTTTATCCAAGGTTTGAAACACATGAACCTGTCTCTACTTACTCAAACAATGGCCTCTATTATGGTGTCTTTTTCTTTAAATCCAAATATTATATTCAGCATTTTAGGAATTCCCTATTCCAAATACAGGCAATTAAATTGTCTATAAGTTACTCAGAGCCTTAGAAAATGAAATGAAATAGGAGTTTGTACTTTGAAATGAGTTCAAAAATGTGTACCATTTGTCAATGCTAGTCTCTGTCAAATAGTCCTCATTATCTTCTGGTTCTGCTGTTAACAGACGAAATAATCTGACACAGACTTCTCTAACAAAAATATTTCCTTCTAGGAGAAGCCTGGCCTTTCTCAGTAATCAGGAATCAAATTCTTGACCTTGAAGATGGGAGAAAGAACAGAATGCTTCTTGGTACCACTATCAGCTGGATGAAATTTGAAAACATCCCCCAGGATAAAAAGGGGGACATGCACGGATATTTGTACTGCTTTTACCAATATCTAGGACGAACTTGGAGCCAGTAGGCTGGTGGTACTCCAGAAAAAGAGAAAACCGAGTCGGAAGCTTGGGAACACACGCCCGAGCCCAGGGCTCAGATGCAAGGGTCATCAGGCATCAGGACTCTGAGTTGAGACCAGAATGAAAAGTGGTCAGCATCACTTTCAATGACGGTTTACCAAACCACCTTTGTATTCACCCTTTTAATTTAGGGTCCCCAAAGTATGGTCCTGTTCTTATGCTCTCATAAACTTCAGTAAAACCAGGAAGTAAACAAGTGTTTATTGAACTGACTTACAGGAAGGAATGAAAGAATGGTGGTCTCCTTAATCATTTCAGGAAATTTGAATATTAACCTAAATGAATTTCTAAGTAGTAGAGGCAGTGGGAAGAAAATGTTTGGGAGCAAGAGCCTCTTTCTAAAAGCAAAGAGACTAGGGTCATAAACTCATCTCTTTTCTCCCCCACTTCCTCCTCCACCTCCCTCCACATAATATCCTTCTTGGTGGCAGGTATAGGACATCCATCTGTGCTATTTTCCTCTTCCATCAGGTTCTTGCCTGGTGCCTGGAACCCACACTGCTCTGTCTTCATCCATTAGTAAGAACGAGGAAATTGCCTACTGAACAACAGTTCTACTTAGATATCCTAGAGGGACTATAAATGCCATCTGAAAAAAATCACTCCCTACACCCATACCTGCTGAAGGACCTCTGTTATCATGGTATCATTGCCCAGTTGGCCAAGTGAAGAGTTTGGAGATACTTGGTTCCCTAGGTGGTACTTAAGCTACCATGAAGGTTTGCGTAGGGGTTTGTATGCAGTGTGAAGCGTGGGGGGAAGAGGTGTTTTGGAAAACAGAGACTGTGTCTCAATGACAGTGACAATGTTTCCATACTGAAGCACCGTAATGCATGTGGATGTTTCAGAAACAGAATAAGGTTGTGCCAGACAGACACGAAGCCCGGAAGCACCATGGTTCCTTTCTCCTATAACAAGCAACCAACAACAAGCAGTCCAACAAGCAAACCAAAAAGTAATTGGAACCAATTCATATTTTTCCTCAGTTTCTCAGGAGATGGTCAAAGGTGGGCTGGCATAGATGAAGTATGTTTTCATGCCCAAGAAAAGTAGCAACCTGTTGCACAAATCCATTCTCCCCTTATTCACCATGCTTCACACTCATCGCTCCCTAATATCTTCTAAAATTCCCCCCACTCTCAACTCCCAACTTCAATTCTCATTCTCTTTCCAATATATATCTTCCAGCTTCTACAGATTACCCCCAGCTATTAACTTACACCAAACTTCATAATAAGGCCCAGGTGAATGTGTGTGTCTGCTTTGGTAGGGAGCCTCTCCTGGAGTGACGAAAATGGGCTGATTCATTCACTTTGTCTCTGCCTGCCACGCTCCTCCTCCAGCTATCTGCATGACTTTCTTAAAACCCCCACTACCGAAAACACACAAACAAAAAAGCCAAAGAAGAAAAAGAAAGCCAAACTTGAAAATAAAAAGGTGAGTAGTTTGTCTTTTCAGTGTGCCTTAGGTACCTTGTTTAATAGGCTCACACAAGGATGGTTTAGGGAGATGTACTCTATTTGACTCACTGTTTACTAGTGATTAAAAGGCCTAGAGGTAGTGAAGTTTCTCGTTAGTTTGTAGATTTTTTTCCAGGAGACACCAAATAATCTCTGTTAGAAAGAGAATTTCCAAGAATATAGTTTATATCAAATATAGTAGGACATTAACCAGCTTTGTCTCTAATCTAACATTTTTTTCTTAGTTGAGCATTCCATTATTAAACGTCCTGTGAATGCTGGATTTTTGAATTCCCTTTAAACCAGTCTTAACATTTTATTGATCCAATACTAACTACCAAGCAGAATGAATTTTTGACATGTGCCAATTTTGACATGTTTCTATTTATATGAGAGTTGCTTTCTGACTTTTTGAAAATTACACTTTAACAACGCTCATGGAACCCTAGCTTCCTTCAGATGCCTGCTCAAATGAAGCCTTCCTGTGGAGGCTTTCCTTGACCATGCAATGGAAAATAAGACCTTGTGTAGATACTCAGCATTTCCTAGCTCCCTTTCTTTGCTTCCCTATAGCATTTATGTCCATTTGATTTTTCTTTTGTCTTTAGCCACTAGAATGGAAGCTCTGTGAATTTAGGGACTCTACAGCCCACTCCCTGATCAATAACTGGCAAATAACGAGTACTCAATGAAGAGTGCATGAATGAATTTAATATACTACTATCAGGCATCCCTGGTCCTCAAAGACTAATTACATTGTGTAACAGCCACCCTTATCAACCCTACACTTGGAATTATGGTAAAAGTACTGAAGTTGTATTTATTTTTCTGTCTCCATTGAGTGATTTCTGGGCCCTTTCGTGAGACTGATACCTTTGCAAGTTTAGCTTTCATCTGTTAATGGGAGCAGTAACACACGTGAGAGGCCATCTATAACCTCGCCTGGTGCACTTGGACTTATCATAGTAAAGACCAACATAAAGACCAATGTAAGTGGCATTATCACTGTTGTCGCATTGCTTCTCTGTTAGTAGTGAGTGTCTGGGATGACAACTTTCAGGCACTAGGAAGTCTTCCAGAGGCTTCAAGACTATTACTCAACCTGAAAACATCTTCCTCTTACCTGGACAGCACTTCCTGGGAAAACACATTTTTCAGGTAGTTTTACTTCAGTACCAGTGGGCTTTTCTCCTCGTAGAGCATGTGAATAAAAAAAGGAACTAACTTATGAAGTATTTTACCGTTTTGCCTAAATAAGAGACAAGAGAACGCACCAGGAAGTCTCAGAGCCAAACTGAGCTCAGATGTAAGATACATCTCAGCAACAGCTCTGAGGAAAGCATCTCCTTAAAATACAGATTTGTACCACTTCAACGTCAGAAAAACTTTTTCCAAAACAGTTTTATTTTCCCCTGCTCAACAGCTAGAAATTTCTTAGGAGTGAGTGTCTTCCCTAAAACAACAAACCGTCTTCTTTTAGCTCTGTGCCCTCAGAGAAAATAAGACGACCTCAGAGATTTGAGTTTCCAAAGCCTCAGCACTTGCAGACAGTAAGCAGAATAGCAGGAGACTTCGCCCACGGTCACGATCTGGTGGTACAGTGGGAAATCTGTTTTTGGAAGCTAAAATCAATGGGAAATCCTTGAGCTGGGAGACTCTGAGGTTTAGCAGCTTAGATAACAGAGCTGGTAATATGTGGACGAAGAGAACCGAAGAAAGCCCTGTGTCAGGGAGCACTTCTACTGTAACTACATTAGGAAGAGTCTCCTGATGCTAAGCCTAGGGCGTCTCTATCCAAGTTCAACAGAAATTATAAGAATCCTCCAATCACTTCTCAGAAGAGCAGAGAGCATCTTCCATGCAAGGATCAGAAAGTGGGGTGGCCTGGAGCCTCTTCTAGAGAAAGGTTAGAAGTTACCAGGCATTCAAATCAGTTCACCTCAGCAGGAAGACCCTAAGAATGCTTTCCGGCTCTCCTCTGGATCCTCCCTCTTTAAATTCCTTATCAACTATCTCCACTTCCCCAGGTCAAGTCAAAGAGCTCAGCAAGCAGGAAATATCCTTTTTCTTACTATGAAACAAAACCAAAAGACTGGTTCATGGGTGGTTACCCTTTTAGTATCTTAATGTAGGTAGGCTCATGTTGCAGAGTATGCTCTTCTCAGAAGAATTGGAAACTTCTCTTCGGTAGGTGACAGCAAACCTACTTGAAAATTATTTCTCCTGTCAAAATAATACTGATGGTAATAGTTCCTGTCATAGAGAGAGCATGGGCCATGGAGTCAAATGCATTCCTGACTCCACTGCTTACTATTTGTCCGTTTCCTAAGCCAGTTACTTGACCGCTGTGTGTTTTAGTTTGCTCAACTGAAAGTGGAGATCGACAAGGAAAATAATAACAGCAAACAATTTCAGTTGTTTCCTAGGTGCTAAACATTAGTCCAGTGTTTTGCCTTCATTAACTAATTTTACACCTTTAACAACCCTATGAGGCAGGTGCCTTTGTTAGGTGACTCCTGAGTCTCCTGCACTCTCTTGAGTGCCAAAGACTCTCGATACCTGTGAAGGACGACAATGTGCTTCATGGGCACTATCTCGTTTAGTCCTCAGAGCACCCTTATGGGGAAGGCACTCTTCTCTGATCCATTTTACACTTGAGAAAACTGAGGTGCAGGGAAGTTAAGTAACTTACCCAAAGACTCAGTTAATGGTGCTGGGAATCATAGTCAGACTCTAAACGCCTTGCTCTTCAATATTATGCATCATGATATTTGTTCCCCTAGAACTCCCCCATTTGTTAAAGGGGAATGAAACCAACTCAGATCATATGTTTGTGAATGGGAAACTTGAACTTTTTTTAAAAAAGGATGGCTGAAGATCTGCCTTCAGTGCTTGCATCAAAATAAACAGAACTGATAGACACAATCAAAATCTCTGGCTTTAATTTTGTTGTTGTTGGGTTTTTTTCCCCTTTGGTACAAGATTTTATGATGAAGTTTCCATGAGAAAAGGGATCCTGTGGTCATGTAAAATAATCAACAAAAAGAATGTAGGAAAGGGTACTGGTAAGCCATATGAGGAAATCACTAACAAGATGTTTGTCTCCTTACTGACATGAAATTACCCAAACGTATGATTTCACAATCTACAGGATGGCAACAAACTGCCCCCAGAGGGCGCCAAAGTGATCTCTCGCTCTCTCTCTCTCTCTCTCTCTCTCTCTCTCTCTCTTTTTTTTTTTTTAAATCTAAGTCTGTAGATCTGATCTGGACCTCCTGCATCTCAGAGGGTTTCTGGATGGTCCTCAAAAAAGCCCCTCAGGGCCTTCCTCTGGTTTGGGGTGTGGGCCACGGTCACCCAGAAAGCTAAATGCAGCCGCTGGGTGATAAAAGCCCTGCGGTAAACTGACTTCTAGCTAACCACAGGGCAGCAGAGAGCGTTGAATGCAACCACAAAGTGGTTTGCTGGCACAGAACTTTCCCAACCTTTGGAACGAGATACCAGGGGATGTTGTTTAGTCTCCATCTTGGAAATCTTTCTCTTGGCGAGAGGAAAATTCTGATATCCATCAGTCTGAAATCAGCTGGGCATAACCTTAGGTGGAGGCAGGGGGGCAAGCATGTTGTCTGTGGGAACTCATAACCTCAAAACCAATGGTCTTAATGGAGCTGCTTATGCAGTTAGTTATGAAACAGGCAGGCACATGGATGCCGGCGGGGATCGACAAACTGCATGGAGACTACCAGACCTCTTTGCAACAGGACATTTGTTTTTCTAAAAATGTTGAGAGAAATTAAATTTTAATGCAGAATTAGGAGTCCTGGGTGAGCTTCCAGCATCTTCAGGTATGCAGGAAGCCCCTAACATGCCTGACATGGACTCCAACAGATGCCCTTTGTTCAGGTCACTATGTTGAGACTCAACAGAACCACTGGCCTCTTGCAATCAGGCTGACGCTTTGGGAGCCCTGTTCTGAAGAAATTGAGATTGACAGTGTTAAGACCTTGAGTTTTTTTCTTTAGAATATCGCCACTGCTTATTCTTTAGCCCTGCCTTTGAGCTAGAAATTGATGTACTTGGCTGATGGGACTAAATTACATGAAAGAATGGCTTTCATCATATTGCTCAATTTAGGGATTTCTTTCATTTCAAAGGCAAGGTTAATTACCTCTAGAAAATGTTAAGCAATTATCCACTAATAATAACAGGGAAGATGCTCCTGGAGCAGCCAACTCAAGGTAGAGGGGGGATTTGTGAGGAAGGCAAGAGACTTAGATTTGAATTAATGATGAAAAATGAAAACTATGTTAAGCTTTTAAAGACTTTAATGGGGAGAGACAAGACTGTTGCCTTAGCCCTTCAGCAGCCTTGGCCGTCAGTTCCTTCCATTTTTTTTCCCCCAGGACTCAGAGGAAAGGCCTATTTGGTTCACATTCGCTATGATTTTTGCCTGTAACCACTTATAACCTAGTGGAGGTGACTCAAGTCTTTGGTCATCAGTGGAATATAACAAAGGTGTGAGCTCCTGGGTAAAGCTAAAAAAGAATCTAGTCTGGGGCTTTTCAGTTGCATCCAGGGATGTCCTATTTCTCTGCATATTAAAGTACTCACAGTTCAGAGTCTTGCTCTTAGAGTTCAGGGATGAGTGATGCCTTCCAAAAGCCTGTACCCTTCTGCAGGCCAACACACACACACACACACACACACACACACACACAGAGTCTCCCTCTCAGGCTCAATTTCAAGTCACTGAAAAATGAGAAAGGTTCTAAAAAAATTCTCTGCATTTTGCTCAGCTCAAAATCCTGTGGCAGGTGGATATAAAAAGCACAACAATTGACACTGTTCTTTCTCTGATTTTTTTTTAGTTCAAGAAGTAAGGCTGTTGTTTGTGTACAGGAGCTTGTTAACACATGCTAGACTTTGTCCTTGCTGTGGAGACAGTTCTCACGCAGCCCTAGGATTCCTTGGCACCTTCGGAGGAAAGCAGGTCAGTAGGTACAAGGAGATGCTTCAAAGAGTGGGTGCGAAGCTGGTGCTGAATGGGGGGGGGGCGATGAGATGCTTCTCTATCTCATTAGAGCCGCCTCAGCGCAGAGGATACCTCTTCTAAAAGCAAGGCTAGCAGGAGGCTGTACACTGTTCAAAAAAATCCTGTCACCACATGAATGCATGTCAGTTCCTTTCTTTCCAAAAAGAGTAATTCCCTGATTTCACGGGCTAACCATAAGATGATCTTAGAACCCCCAAATTACAGCTCTTTAACATTTCAGTATTAAACTCATATGTGCTTAGGCCTAAATATGATAAAGTTTACAGGAATTGATCTTGAAACTGAAGCTCAGAGTTTTAAGGATTCTGCAAGGAAGAAAATTATTTAGTTGATGGGAGAAAATTATTTATTTGCAATTATGAACACTGAGAAATCTGGGTTCTCATTTCTGATAGTTAACAGCCACCATCATAATGTGGTGCCTATTTTGGACAGCTTAGGACTTACTGTTAAAGCCTACCTTTGAACATTGAAAGTAAAGAAAAATATGTCATGCAACATATCTGCCAGGTAATACAAGAAGAAATAGAAAACTTTCTAGACACAGAGAGAAATTAGTTAAATTCATTTTACAGAAACCGCACAATCTAAACAGACTTGTTTTCCTTCTTTTTCTTCTGTGAAGTTCCAAGGGTACTTTGTCAACTACGCAAAGCTCCGTTTCCAACCTTTGCTTTTTTTTTTTTTTTAAACCACATTCTAGCCTTTTCACAGCTTTGAATCTACCTGTTCCTGTTTATTTCCAGGTATGAAATATCACTGAATGTTCACTATGACAGCTGGGAAGAACAGTCAGAAACTCTTAGTCCCATCCTTCCTTTTATAAACAAAGAAACAGAGACTTTGAGAAGTGGAGAATTTTTATAAGTTCCCACAGCTCATAAGTGACAAAACTGGGATGCAAATCCAGACTTCCTGACTCCCAGCACCCCAGAGTCTAGAGTCGGGATCCGGATAGTACATACGACATGAGATCCTCCCAAAGATGTGACAAGCCACTGCAAGACTCCAGGCAGAACGTACAAAAGGCAGCCACAAAGAAATGGAGGAAGATTTTAGATCTTTGGGACACTGCCTCTTTGCTTCCTCTAAATATTAACTCTCTGACACAAAGCCCCATGATTCCGACCCAAGAAATCACCCTGATGCTTCAGATATTGAGCTAGGAGTATTCTTATGGCCACACGAGATGCCATGGGAGTTACATTTATGCCTAATATAAGTAGATACTAAGCCCAACATAAAATCTTTAAAGGCAAATGTCTTGAAGCATCACAATCTAGACTTGGCCTGTGCTTATAAAGGAATGAAGGTTTGATGACTATAGTGTACTCATTCATTCATTCATCTCCTCGTTGATTCATCCAACGGACCTTATCGAGTACCTCGTCCATGACAGGGGATACAGTGGTGATCAGGATAGGCATGGCCCTGGCTCCCTCAGCACTTACGATTTCCTGGGTGCAACAGACATTGAACAAGTATTTAGAGTAAATTACGGAGGAACACACCACAGAACTTCACCAGGAACCAAGTGACCAGATTGATATTCTAACTCAGTAGGTTTTGATGAGGGTAGTTTGGAAAGTGATGGAGACATTTGGGGTTATAATGCTAGAGGGAAGCTCCTAGCCTTTAGGTACCAGGAAGCAAGGCTGCTGAGTGTCTTGTATTTTTTTGTCCAGCCCCTCAATACAGGGAATTTCTCCTACATCCTCTGTGACCTCTAAGTCCTTGTTGGACATTCACAAAGGTGAAAAACCTGCCGAATTACCCAAGTCTGGACTCGACCTTCACTTACAGGTCTACATGAAGTATATTTGTGTAGCTTAAACAGATACGGAATGTTCAAGGAATGAATCCATGCAGAAGATGACATCATGTTTTGTTCAGAACTTACGAGCACCATCTGCAATTTCAGAAAAGCATGCCACTGATAGAAATGCTGCCAAGAAAACACAACTCTATCGGATTACATTTAGAGCTACCTTAGGAAGGTGGAGCAAGTGGGTGCATCAGAATTCATTTTAAAATATAAATTATTTTTTATTACTCCGTTATATTAGGACAATGTATTAACTCTAGCTTATTTTACCTGTGATTTTCATTCCTGGCTGGTTTGCAAAGGAAAGTGAACAAGATCTCAAGGACCAGGCAGAGAATTGTACTGTTTCTTCTCTCTAGTGTCTACGAATGCCTTTGATAGTGTCCCTCAGCTGACAGTTTTTGTGGCTCCCCCTACAGAATTGGGCAGGACAGAGGTGCTTTCAAGTCTTCTCTTTTCCTGTTTCAATGACTCTGGCTTGCGAAGATGAGAGATTGAGGAGAAACCCAGACATGTGAAGGGGTATAGGTGTGACGGCCTACCTCTTTGTGATTTTTGGCTGCACAATCCGGAAAGCATATATCCATCTAGATTTCTGTTTCCTGGAACACAGCACTCAGAGAATTTTTGTAACCTGTGTATGTGCCATCCAGGAGCTTAGAGTCACAAGAAAGAGTTCAGATGCCAGATAGTGGCAGTGAATACAGAGAGACCCAGGAGCCCACAAGCACAGAACATCAGCCTTTTTTCCAGTTCTACCTATGACTCCACTTTTCTGGCTGAGGCAGCACAGGAGAGAGTCCGAATCAATGATGGGCAGACGTACTGCACCGTGGACTGCACGGTGTTTAGAGAGCTTTAGTGTCCCTGGGAATTTGGCATCCTCAGCCACCGTGATGCTCTCAGGCCCTTTCTGATAACCTCATATTTCCTAACCTCCCGCAAAACAAGGGTGTCGCAATGCAGGTTTTTGTAGCTGGCCAACAAATTACTTTCTCTATAGATGGAAAGAGATAACAAGACCCTGTTAACTTCATTTTATGCCTGTTGCTACACAAATTCAGCCACTTGATAGGTTGGACAAGCAAGACAGGACAGGATCCGGGGAAGACAGGCATTGATAAAAGCACATAGCCCTGGAAGACGGCTGCCCTGGAAGCTTCAACTCCACGTGAACATAGGACAGACTTGGCCCATGAGGAAGGACCCCCTGATGTCTACAGTAGCTTGTAGTTATCAAGCCACCAGTTTGCCTTCTTAAAGAAGTCTGACTGAAGAACTAGACTCACCTTAGATGACGGTTTGTTGGGGCACCTGGGTGGCTCAGTGGGTTAAGTGACTGCCTTCCACTCAGGTCATGATCCAGCATCTTTGAGACCTGCATCAGGCTCCCTGCTCCGTGGGGAGTCTGCTTCTCCCACTGCCCCTCACCCGACTCATGCTCTCTCAAATAAATAAATAACATCTTAAAAAAAGAAGAGGTGGCATTGTTGTTTTGTTTTGTTTTTAACCTTTGCAATCTTGACTCTCCAGAACTGAATGAGGCCCCTATGGTTGGAGTCTGCGATTTGAGCATTTTTAAAACAGTGTTAGTGGGACTCCTATCTCTGTTCTTAAAGGAAACCTATAGCATGACTGCAGTTGGGATTTTTCACTCTGGGGAGGTAGCCCCTGCGTGTGAGGTCAGCTCTCCTGGTAGTGGGGATGAGATGACCAATTTGTTTTGCCAAGGCCTCCAAATTGTCTCAAATGGCAACTAATTTTAGTTGAAATGGACTTCATCCAAATTTGAACCAGGGACTAAGAGGAGCAAGGCTCCATATCCCATTACCAGAGCTATCCAGATTCTCCATAATACTGTATATTAAATCCTTATAATAAGCTGCTTTTGTGAGTCTTGGTGCCGGTTCAGTATTTTCATTGCAGTGATTACCCTATGGTCTGCTGGCCAGCTGAAGCTGGAGTCCTCTTTCCCTTGATACGGTTCCATAACATCTCTCATCGGCCCAGTGAAACTTGTTGTTAAGGGCAGAGCTAATCTATTGCAGCCTGCCCGGCTGCATCATGCCAAGAAAATTGGTGTGTTTCTGTCAGCTATTTCTGTGAGGACAGTTCACTTCTTTGGAAGAGTTTTCTCTCCATCGAGTCAGTGAACAATCCAGCTGCAAAGAATAGCTCTTGCAAACAGCCTCCCCGGCCCATCTTGAAGTGAGGGCCTCTTACCCACACTGACAAAATCAAGGCATTATCTCATATACTGGGTTTTAATACCTGTATGCATATCTGTGTGCCCCAAAGGGAGTTTGGGGGAACTTCTAAAAGATGTACCAGGAATGACATATCCTTGAGTGACATGGTTTCCTAATTCCAACTCCACATCCACTGCCCGCCCACCACTCCAGCTCCTTGTTGGTAGCTTACGACTTGGCTAGGTGCTGGCAATAGAGAGGGGACTAAGGCCATTCCAGGCGAGGAGGAGGACACAGTGACAAACAATGAAGCTGCACCTTTGTGTGATCTATGAGGCGGAGCCAAAAAAAAGTCAACAAAACCAACCCGTTTGAAGAGGGCCCAGGAGCTTGCTTTGAAGGCTAGGGCTGGGGAAGTAAACCCATTTGTCAGCAGTGGGGCAACAGGAGTATTCCAGACAAGGGCCATGTAGTGAAGTCCTCCCACCTGGCCTGAGTGACCTGGACCCTGGAAGGACACCTCTGAGTCCACCTGTCCCCGTGCACCTGCCCTCCATCTGGCTTGCCCCTCACCCTTGTGTTTCTCTAGCAGCTCATTTGTGAGACTTTCACTGTGGTGATTTGTCCCTGAGTCTGTCATGATTCCCTGGCCCCTGTTGCTTTTGGCCTCCTCTCCTGTCTTGGGACCCTGTTGTTGGGAACCACATTTGCTTTTCTGGCCGAGCATTTTCCCCTTGCCGATTCTCTAACCCTCCAGCCCCAGGCTGTCTTCTACCTGATTCCTTGTCTCTGGGCTCCAGGAGTGGGTGCCAGTTCAGTCCCAGCCACACCCTCACTCACTTTTCAACAGGGCCAAGGGGTTGGGTTGGGTTGGGTTTGGTTTGGTTTCCTCCTCAGGTCCCACCCTTACCCTCTTCCTGCCATTTTGAAAGAAAATCCAATGCTTTAGGCCTCAATAAAACAAACAAACTGACAAATACACTAAAGAGCCAAGTCTGGGTCAGAAATCGAAGCAAAACAAAACTCCGGAGAACATTTCTTTTGTTATAGGATTTGTGCCTTTTATTCTCAGCCCCCAATGTGGTAAGAGATATCAGTGTAGTAGACACATGAGACGCTTACAGCCAAAGAAAAGCTGCTGAGCGGGGTGCCCCAGCCTTAATCCTAATGCCCAGAAGAGGCCTCCATTAACTGGAGATCTTGTGGCTTATACTTTCAGGACATTTTATACCAGCCCTGTCAATAGAAGTATAATATTAGCCACATATCTAGTTTTATGTTCTAATAGTCACATGAAAAAATGTGAAAAGAAAAAAAATGAAATAACTTTAAATTAAATAATAAATTTTGTTTAACCCAACAACACCTAAAATATGCTCATTGCAAAATACTATGTAAAATTACAAAATGAATTAGTTCTACAGATCTGCTGTATGGCATATGGGGTAGTAAGCAACACTGTATACTGCACTTAAAACTTTTTAAGGCACCTGGTGGGTCAGTCGGCTAAGCATCTGCCTTTGGCTCAGGTCACGATCCTGGAGTCCTAGGATCGAGCCCTGTATCTGGCTCCCTGATCAGCAGAGAGTCTGCTTCTGCATCTCCCTGTGCCCCTCCCCACAATTCCTGCTCTCACTCTCTCAAATAAATAAATTCAATCTCAAGGGAAAAAAAAAAAAAAAACAAAACCTTTGTAAGTGGGTAGATCTTGTGTTAAGTGTTTTTACCATACACACAAAAGAGCAGGTACAAGGAAGCTTTTGGAGGCGATGAATGTGTCTATTACCCTGATCCCGTGGTGATGTTTTCCTGGTTTTATGCATGTGTCCAAACTTATCAGATTGTGTATATTAAATAGGTGTTCTGTATCTCAACTGTTCCCCAATAAAGCTTTTAAAAAGTATTCATGAGGCACTTTACTTCTATTATCACACTAGGACTTAGAAATGTCCATTCAAATGGTAAATTTTTCCAAAAAGTGTGATGTAGTCCTTCCTATTGAAACAAACTTGCGTTTCATGGAAAGATATTTTACATTGCTTAAGCTTCTTTATTTAAATTAATTACAATAAAAGAAGTCAAAGCATTTCTCGGTTGTGCTAGCCACATTTCCAGTCCTTAGGAGCCACATGTGACTATAGCTAGCGTATTGTACAGCACAGCTTTCTGAACAAAGGCGCTAACTCATAAGCTGCACCTCACATCAGCTCAGCAAAATACAGAAACTATTCCCCCCAGTGAGACAATGATAGTCATTGAACAGGGAGGAGGGAAGGAGGTCCCAACCTCCGCTCCACTGGTCTTTCAAAAGTCTTCACAAATGCCATCCATTTGCAAATTATTTCCTGTAATTTTTACTTTCTTCTTAAGTTTAACTTTCTTCAAAGAAGAAAAAGAGCCACTCAAATACAACACAGATGACATTTACTAGTAAATTATATATATTTTTTAATCCATAAACTTGCCATCCTGGCAACCCAATAAATTTGCCAATTAGTGTATAAAAAGCAAACAGAGCACCAGTCTCCATAAACATCTCTTGAAGCATTAGTTCATGCCTTTGGTCTCTTTTCAGGTTGAATTAGACGTAAGATTTCATCTACTCAAGGATTTTAAATGCTCTCTGTCCATCTCATTACAGGCATACCTTGGAAATATTGTTGGTTTGGTGCCAGACCACCACAATAAAGATATATTGAAATAAAACTGGTCAAGTGATTTTTTTTGTTTTCCCAGGGCACGTAAAAGTTATCTGTATCCTATGTTGTAGTCTATGAAATGTGCAATAGCGTCATGCCTAAAAATATGTACATACCTTAATTAAAAAATACATTATTGCTAGAAAATGCTAATCATCCTCTGAGCTTTCAGCAAGTCCTAATCTTTTTGCCTGTGTAGGGTCTTGCCTCTGTGCTAATGGCTGCTGACTGATGCCGGTGGTGATTGCTGAAGGCTGGGGTGTCTGTGCCAATTTCTTAAAATAAGACAGCAGCGTGGCTTGCCACGTTGAATGACTCTTCCTTTCATAAATGGTTTCTTTGTAGTATGTGATGCTGTTAGATAGCATTTTACCCCCAGGGAAACTTCTTTCAGAATTGGAGTCAATCCTCTCACACCCTGCCACTGCTTTATCAGCTGTTGATATAATAATCTAAAACCTTCCTTGTCAAAAAAAATAAAATAAAATAAAAATAAAAGAATAAAAAAAAATAAAACCTTCCTTGTCATTTCAACAATCTTCATAGCATCTTTACCAGGAGTGGGTTCATCACAAGCAAGTTCACCACTTTCTTTCCTCATCCATAAGAAGCATCTCCTCATCCATTTGTCATGGGATGGCAGCAATTCAGTCCTAGCTTCATGCTCCGCTTCTAATTCTAGTTGTCTGCTCTTCCCACCACATCTGCAGTTCCTTCCTCTGCTGAAATCTTGAACACATTACAATTATCTGTAACGATGGGAATCAACTTCTTCCAAACTCCTGTTAGTACTGATATTTTGACCTCTTTCCATGAATCATGAATAGTTTTAATGACATCTAGAATGGCGAATCCTTTCCAGAATGTTTTCAATGGACTTTGATCCATCAGAGCAATCACTATCTGTAATAGTTATAGTCTTATGCAATGTATTTCTTCAATAGCACAACTTGAAAGATGAAATTTGCTCCCTGATCCACAGGCCACAGAATGAATATCATTGGCAGGCAGGAAAATAAAATGAATCTCATTGTACATCTCTATCAGAATTCCGGTAACCGGGTACATTGTCAATGAGCAGTAATATTTTGAAAGATACCTTTTATTCTGAGCAGTAGGTCTCAACAGTGGGCTCAAAACATTCAGTAAACTGTATTATAAACAGATATGCTATCATTTAGGCTTTGTTGTTCAACTAATAGAATACAGACAGAGTAGATTTAACACAATTCTCAAGGCCCCATAATTTTCAGAATGGTAAATGGTAACATGAGCATCGGCTTCAACTTTAAGTCACCACCTGATTTAAGCCGCTAACAAGAGAGCCAGCCTGTGCTTTGCAACTCTGAAGCCAGGCATGGACTTCTCCTCTCTAACTATAAAAGTCCTAGGTGGCATCTTTTTGTAATAGAAGGCTGTTTTGTCTACAGTGAAAATCTGATTAGTGAAGCCACCTTCATTAATGATCTCGCCTAGATCATCTGGATAACTGGCCTCAGCTTCTGCATCAGCACCTGCTGCTCCCCCTTATACTTTATGTTA